ATTTTTTAAATTTTTTTTTTTAATTTTTTCCCCCCCCCCCCCCCCCAACTAGTCGGACTATAAGAAGCGCTGCATGATGTGATTTTATTGCTCATTGCTTTGGTCTCCTGTAAATCCTCCATGGTAAAAATCATATTCCACATATCTGTATATTTAGCATAAAACATATTCATGATTAGATATGGTTTTGTTGTTCTGAACTACAGAAAAATATCTTCCTGGTACACTGTACGAGGAGTAAATACGCTACATGGCCTCTTTGGATTTCTGTCTTTGAGAAAAACAAATGAGCAGATTTAAAGGGCTGATGAAATCATTTCCTTCATTATATTATAATAAATAATAAAGAAAATACACACACTGTTTGTTTAGACAAAGTGAATAATCTGGAAATCGCATTGGCTACATTTACACAGCTGCCGATTTTTAATATAGAGTATACATTTTAGTTTTTAGTATAGAGTATACATTTTAACCACAAACTTTTGAAAAATAGTGTACATAGTTACAGTATACTATTATACTGATCATTTTTTACCTCAATAAAATCAACCTATTCATTCCATTAATTCAATATTCTATTAATCTAAAATGCTTTTAAACATTTGGACATCTCTAAAGTCACTCATACATAAAATGCTGTTTTAGAGGCTGTTTATATGTTATAATATATGCATTAGTCTCTAGGCAAACGTATGGAAATGTATGTGCACTGGAACAAACAATACCTACAGTATGACTACTAATGAGATCATGCACAGTTCTGTTATAAACTGTTCAGATAAGCAACCAAACAGCAAAGAAATGACTGTAAATGTAAAGGACAGATGACTATGTGTTGTGGTTGAACCGGTGATGTACATGGGTGTTGAGAAACATCCGCTGTGTCTGTTCAATTGTTGAGCCACACAGCAGTGCTCCCAGATCTCCTGTAGGAGGTGGACAGAAATATTGCACATCAGTGGCATCTGTAAACTTGTCTGACAATGTTTAAAATTCTCTGCTACAACAAATTGCCAGTGGTTTATTTATTGCCTTAAACATACAGAGATTGGAAGGCTAAGCTATAAGAAGACAGTTGAAGTATTTGTGGAAGCTCTTGTGCTCTCTCATGTTACAGAGAGGACCAAGATGCCTCTGAACCACAAACATGCTGTGGTCAGGGTCAGCAACGATGAATAACTAATGGACAGAGGAAAAAATAAAGAGAAAGAATGAAAGACAGCAAAAGAGAGAGAAATGGTCGTGATTTTGCCTTATCTTGAAGAAGAAGCAGTGATGTGTGAAGTCGAAGATGCCTCTGAACATGCACAGACTCAAACTCTGTCCTTTGTGGATTACAGCTGGCCTCTTCAGGCATAAACACATACGCACAAACTTTCCCCAATTTTTCACCCCTAGGCAAAACTATAGACTGACTGCACTTTGTTCTTCATGGAAAGTAGTTTCATGTTGGCATGCTGCTGTTGTGTTTTTGTGCCAAGGTCACGACTGGCTGATTTCCACACAAACTGTCAGATGACCCCTCACTCCATCAGCAGCTGCCTCAACGATGACTATCAGGCCTGCCTTGCATCTTACACCAGACTCATTGGTGAGCTGAATAATGTTTTTAATAATTTAGTTTGGGATATAGATATACAACAGAAATAAATGCAGTGAATGTTCATAAACAATGCATGTATGTATGTATCTATCTATCTATCTATCTATCTATCTATCTATCTATCTATCTATCTATCTATCGTCTGACCTCAATATCTAATATTTATCAATAGATAGATAGATAGCAATATTTTTTTAATTATTATTACTACTACTACTACTACTACTACTACACAAACTACATTTGAAAATGTTGGGGTCTATGAGATTATTTTTTGATACTTTTATTCATCAAGGATGCATTAAACTGATCAAAAGTGAAAGTAAAGACTTGTTACCATTCATTTCTATTTCAAATAAATGCTGTTCTTTTGAACTTTCCATTCATCAAAGAATTCTGAAAGAAATGTATCATGGTTTCCACAAAAATACATAAATAAATAAAAAATATTAAGCAGCACAACTGTTTTCAACATTGATAGAACAACTGTGAACGACTTTGCATCACTGGAATAAATTGCATTTTAAAATATATTAAAATAGAAAACCGTTATTTTAAATTGTACAAATATTATTGTCTCCACAATATTACAGTACTTTTGATCAAACAAATGCAGCTTTGGTGAGCATAAGAGACTGCTTTAAAAAAAACATTAAAATAATTTTACTGACTTTTGAACGGTAATGTATTGCATAATATTAGAAAATGTAAGTCAATGTCAATAGAGTTTGAGAAAAGTACTATTAATATTTTATCAAACTTTTGTGCACCATCTTTAGTAAACATTAAGAGCACATCAAATATAATTAAACTGAACAAATATTTGTTTTTTGACTCATTCATTCATCAATAACAAAATAGACAAAATAGTCAATAACAAAAAGACATATAAAATATTCAACATTTTACCCCTGAAAAGTAATGCTGATGCTCATTTTCATTTAATAATTTACTGTGATACACATTATTTAGTAACCTAGAACTGAAAATAAGTGACTTATTTAGTTTGATTTGTTCTCCTTATAGGTACAGAAATGACTCCTAACTACATGGACTCAGGTCACTCAAACTTCACCATCTCCCCCTGGTGTACCTGCAGAGGCAGCGGGAATCAGGAGGAAGAGTGTGAGAAATTTCTACAGGACTTCAGAGAAAACACCTGTCTCCGTAAGTCTTTCTTCTTTTGTTATTAAAGCTTTTCTTCTGTAAAGTCACTTAGCTCTCAGCTTTCTCACTCAATTCAGAATTTATACTCAGCTTTTTGATAAGTAATTGAGGATGCAGTACTTATATGAGCATGCGGTTGTTTAGAAATAGGTTTCTTTGCTACTTCTTAAACCTGAATGCTGCAGCTACGGTGACGGTGTTTGAAACCTGCCATGTTTTGTGTTTACTTTCCATTACAAAATTCATTCCATGTGTGGAAGCTCTACCCACCTCTAGAATCATAAATGTCTGATTGTTTTGTAACTAATGTCATGCTTGTTAGCAGAAAGTAAACATGTAAGCTGAGGCTAAATAAGGCTTCCAGCCTGACTTGTTATCAGGTGCTGTTACAGGACTCCTTTTTTGGCATTTCATAGTGATAATGTGTCAGTCCAGTCATTTAAACAGACTTTTATGGCTTATTTTAAAATGATAATCTAATTAATTAATTCATTCATTCATTCATTCATTCATCATCTATATTTACATATTTTAGATTTAGTTTAACATGTTCATTCTTTAGCATTAAATCAAATTTGTAATATTAACTTTGTTTGACAATTTTTGTAGGAGAAATCCAGTCATTTCAATAGGAATACAAGCAGCTGGGAATTTTATGTGAGGGCGATTGATTTTCCCATGCAGATGTCGCAAAGGGTTCAAGTTGGTCACGTTTATTTGCCTTGTTGACCAACAGAAATTTGCTTGGTTTGAAAGAGAATTCTGTATGAGCTATTGACAATAGACTATGGACCTTTTTTTTTGTCCACAAATTTGCTAATGTGACTGCCCTTAGTAAAAATTTAATATATTTAAAATACATTTATTTCATACTAAATATAGTTCAAATCTATTAACATATTTATTGACATATCGCTCAAGATTTACTCATATAAAAATAATTAAACTTTATTCGGAGTATCACTTGTGCACAATGCACATTTCTTAATATTAAGCCTACAGTGTATTTTAATTTCACTATTGATGAAGATTGGATGATCTTTGAATAATATCAGTCTTTAAAAGCAAGATATTTAAAGTGTACATGAAGCATACTTGCAATAGTTCCACTTTAGCACAAATATACTTCAGCATATCAGGGCAGTCGTGGCCTAATGGTTAGAGAGTCAGGCTTGTAACCCAAAGGTCGCAGGTTTGAGTTCCTAACCCTAACCCACGACTGAGGTGAGACTCTTGAGCAAGGCACCCAAACCCCTAACTGCTCCCCGTGCGCCGCAGCATTGGCTGCCCACTGCTACAGGATGTGTGTTCACAGTGTGTGCGTGTTTGTTCACTACTCGGTGCTGTGTGTGTGCACTTGGATGGGTTAAATGCAGAGCACAAATTCCAAGTATGGGACACAGAATACTTGGCCACATGTCATGTCATGTCATGTAATTTCCTTTCCTTTAGTTTGGCTTCAGCACTACTTCCGCACAATTAAAGTGCACTAAGTACAAAATTAGTTGTTCCAGTTTAGCAGACTTTAAGTATACCAGTTTAGTATACCATAAGTACAATTGCAGGGTATTTTATTAAGTAAATAAATATGTAAATGTATTTGTAGTATACTCAACATTAAATAAATGTATTTCAAATACAGTTTAGTACATTTATTTGGCACCTTTAGCTTTGAGATAATATGTATGCTAGTGTTCTCCTAAACAGTGACTACACATTTCAATTCTACAATATTGCTGTACATGGAAAATGGCCCAAAATAATTTTGTCCAATCAAATGCTCTCTAGCAAAGTCTTAGCAACTAGCAAGATGTATCAAATCACAGTTCATAGAACATGTACATGATTGAGTTATGCTCAAAGAAAATACCAATAGATTACAGTGATGCAGTTTCCTGCTAAGTTAACAAGAAAAGGCCAACTTGGAAAATAATGCTAGAAAATAGACTTTGTGTATCAATGGTTATAAAAAAAAATGCATTATTAGATATAGGCAGATCAAATTATTATTAACAGGAGGCAAATAAAAGAGAATCTAAGATGAAGAAATTCCCCCCAAAAAGTTTGATTGCTTGGCAGGAATATCTTCCAGAGAGTGAAATAAATAACAAAGCGGAAAAATGAAAACATAAGATAATAAGCTACAGAGCTTCAGGCATTAGCTCAGGAGACAGTTCATCCGATATCCCACTGTGAGATAGGCTGAGAGAGATTTCTCAAGTCAAAACAAGCATGGATACAGCATAATTTGCATGGATTTTATGTAGATCATGGCTGTCTTTGCAAACCTAGCAAGCTGCTTTCGTAGACTGCATTCTAAGGAATTGTAGGCATGCTTTTGATGTGACAGTTGTTGCAAAAATCAACTATACCTCAATTTAAGTGAATTGTAAGGTAGCATCAAATACAACATATCCTTACTGAGAACATGATAATCCCATAATAAACTGGCAGACACAATTAATGTCCTGGGATTTGATGTTAGTAACATACTAATATGAAACTCTTTTGAAATCAATAGTCTGCTTCACATTAGCAGCATTATTTCTTATGGTGTTGGTAAATGGCTGTTAATGAACTTGTGTTTTATATCATAGATACAAGCTCATGGAAGCAGTAGACAGCAAGCCAGCTCACATAATTTTAAGATAGCCTGTGTGTGTGTGTGTGTGTGTGTGTGTGTGTGTATGCGTTTTTGTGACAAATGAGGACATACATTTGTATAATGACAAAGGTATAACATAGGTATTACAAGGAGAAGGTGACTTTTCAGGAAATTACCCCATGTCCCCACTTTTCAAAACGCTTATAAATCACACAGAATGGAGTGTATTGAAAATCTGAAATAGCACAAAGTTTCCTGTGAGGGGTAGGTTTAGGGGTAGGGTTGGTAAAGGGCAATAGAATATACGGTCTGTACAGTATAAAAACCATTACGCCTATGGGATGTCCCCACTTTTCACAAATGTAAACCTGTGTGTGTGTGTGTGTGTGTGGTGAGAGAATGTGTCTTGTTTTGTTTTTCTAGCAATTAACTGATTCAAAATCGGCAAGCGTTGCAGAATTAGCATTTAGCTGAACTGCTGACCCCCCAAATACAGTTAACTATGCCTCATTCCTAACAAACTTGGAGAAGACGACACACATTAGTTTTCTCCTCAAGGGATCTGGCGAGTTAAAGTCTCTCTGACTTTCTGACTTTCTGACTTCCTGCAGAAACATTCTCTTTTGAAAATGTGCTTTGAATCAATGTGTTTTTCCTTTTATTTTCCAACAGGAAATGCTATCCAGGCCTTCGGCTATGGGTCGCTACCCAAGCCTGATCCTCAGCCTACTACAGGCTCAGTGAAACCTGACCTTGAGCCCACTGTCAACATCCCTAAAACAACTATGGAACCTGGGGAGGAGCCCTGCATTATTTCGTCCTGTGCAAATTTGAACGTAAGTTTTAGAACGTTTTAGTGTTGTATATTACATTGTAAATTTTAATGATGACGTGGATCTGAGTCAGTAATACCATGGTGAAAAAGATGTGCCCTTAATTGCTTTGAAAGTGCATTTGTACTAAAGACTATAGAATGAATAATAATTATGTACCTGTACCTAAGTTCTTCTTAAGCACTCTAAAGTTCAGCTACTGCATTTAAAATAAATGTAAACGATGATACATTTTAATTTAATTGCAATTAACATGCAAGTGAGTGTTGAAAACATTACAATATGTTCTATTTTAAATTCTATACATAAAAAGTGTACTTTTTTCCACAAGGATAAGCTTAGAAAGAAATGGAGGTGTCTTAGTAAGTCACCGATGCAGAAAATAAAAGAAGCAGCTGTGTGAATTAATTAAAATACTGAACATGTTGCGTTGTAAATATTTAGATCTCACCACTAACAAAGCTGCATTTACTGAGCATCAATTACACACATTACTCGTTTATTTTAGTTATACATATTGTAGTAAAAAAAACATGGTAACATATTTACACATAGGAATATTGTATGCTAACTGCCACTTTGCATTTAATTAACATTTGATTGGACTAGTTGACATTAGTCAAGCTATGAACAGCTGTAGAATAAACAAACGACAAGAAATAAATTAGTTGACATTTGTACATTTGTTTGGTTAATTGCACGCACACACACACACTGCTTTGCAGAGTTTTTCACCTGAGTGCAGAATACTCTCCAGAGATGTTGACGGACTCATAATTAACATATTATAGTTGAAAATGTAAAATGATTGATGATTGTACCCCTGAAAACAGCACAAATAGACCAGACAGAAAAATGTGTCCTCACAATTTCCCAGAGGAGCCACAAAACTGCATGTCACTATTTACACTGCATGTGTTTGCGTGTGTGTGTGTGTGTGTGTGTGTGTGTGTGTGTATCTGTACGTGCTGAGCCAGTAAAGCAGTGCTTAATTTATTGTAAAAATGATAATTAGTGCATTACCCAAGCAGGAAGATTATAATTAGAGACTGCCTGAGGGGAAACATTGTCAAACTTCACCATTCTCTAGCAATTCAGAAACAATGTCAGATGCGCATCACAGATTCACCCCATTGCTGAAACTCATATTTTTCTTCTGGTCCCACTCAAATGAAAGATGAATAGTTTGCCATGGGCCATTTTTCTCATTCTGACAGGTAGAGAGAAAATGGGCAAAGTCTCGCTCTGTTTACCGTGTTTTAATTCGAGGCAGTGTTCGGCATCACAGTGATTTTTGGAGGTGAAATTCAAAGGGGGCGCTTTGCTCGATCTAGCAGGTCCAATAGCACTTAAAGTGTGCCTGAGGCAGGAAGGATGTTTCTTCACAGAATCTACATGTAGATGTGACAAGACTTGCTCATGGGCACAACTGAGGCAATGATTCTATTCACTCAAAGCTATAAATCATTTCCAGTGCTCCATTGGTATGAATTATCAGATATTCATAGTTATTCATACTGTTGAGATCTCTTCTAAAGCATTACAGGAGACAAATATGAGACCTTCAGATTATCTGAGCACAGTGTGTTATTTTGTTGAGATCTCTTTTAAAGCTTTAAAGGAGACCATTGTGAGAGTGTTAGAGTTTTTGTCTCAGGAGACAAGTTTGAGAAGCAGGAGACTCAAGCAAAAATCTCCATTCGATCTTAAAGTAAACTCATTTATGTCTAGGAGAAATAATTGAGATGTTAAAGAGATCTCACTTTTGATTTGTCTTTCCTATGGGTGGAACTGTCAAAGCCAGGCCATGAACACTCAAAAGCAAGTTGACTGTTCATCTGCAACCATGATTATAGCATCTATGAATAGCTATATCTGCAATGGACTTCAGCAGATGATTTTGCTAAACCACCACAATACAACAAGATGAAGTTGTCAATACAAGAAGTTAATACATATAAAACACAAGCCAACACACTCTCACCTGCGAAATGTTTTACCCATTCCTTCAGGAATTTCAATCTCTGGGGTTTTTAAAACCAGTGGCTGCACATAGTTCCAGCAATAATTTTTAACGACACGTCGACCATTCCAAGATGACGGGCACGTTGACATGCCTGGAGCGGTTGAATGGTGATCTATCTATACATATCTATACATATTTAAAGTGGACTACTGAAAGAAAGTGTAACCATAATAGCACATCTTAGAATGTTCGTCAACCAATCAGAATCCATCATTCAACAGCCTTGTGGTTTAAACAGCGATATTTACCTTTTTTTGCCAAAATTTTGAAGTGATTCACATACATTTATTTTCCCAGTGTTGTACACCAGTTAATTTCCTATGACCGTATCACAAGGTGACCAAAATTGGCAGTTCTGTCAGGACCACTATCGTCAAATATGATTGACAATTAGCATACAGTTTGGATTGGCGGTATGGTTCTGTTCTGGGCAAGAACTCCCTGCGCATCCATGCAGCCTAGCATGGATGAGAGCAGGGAGAGCAGCGATAACCCCCCAGGGTAAACAGAACAGAACCAACATAAATGTAATGCAGATATCGTTCAAAAATTGTATGTACACATTTTAGAATTAGTCTGATTCAAAGGAGAATCAGAAGGCTGAATCCCGACTGACAGAGGAGGAGCTGGGGATGGAGGAAGATAATTAGCTATTGAGCAATGCTTAGATAGGTGTCGTATTCCCATAGGTTGATGGAGATCAGCTGAGAGTCAGCTGATGCGAGCTTGACTAACGTGACCTGCCAGAACTAACGCTATGCTTGATTTATGCTTTCTCCAATGATACAGAAATGGACATTGCCATTTTCTTCTTTAATAAGAGAATTTCTGATTTAAATCAGAGATACTATGACAAATAATTTGTTTTAATGCTGTCAAATTGACAAGAAAGAATCACAAAATGATGCTGCCTTCAAGTGCACCTGGGAAATTCTTATCTTTGAGGGCATTCGTTATTACGATGTGTCACACATGCAGGTCAGAAACATAATACGCAGGTTGCCTAAACAAAGCAAACAAAAACAAGAATTCTATTGTGAACAGTAAATCCAAATAACTGTCTGAATTCAAAGCTACATCTCATTTTGCCAAACCATTCATTATAATTCACACATTCAAGTTAGAAGTCTTAAGTTAAAAATAAGGTTGATACGAAGCATGGTTTGCTCTCACAAAGGCCTATGAAAGAGTTGTGTACCAAGAGGAATGATTTTGCGACTATCTGTGTGTTAGTTTGTTTGAGCAAGGTTGTATGTAGTGGTGCAAGGCTACACATCAGTGTCTTTCTCTGCATTTCTGTGTAAACAATCAGGACATGTGTGAGAGTTCTAAAGCAAAGAGCTGAGATGTGAACGAGTGGAAGAGAAATGGAGGGAGATGTTGAGAAGCAACGAGGAGAGAGGAGGGCATTAGCAGAGCTGTGAACAGAGATCTGGGCTGATGTCAACAGGCAGCTGACACACATCACCGCTCTCGCTAATTAATTGGCTTTTAGTCACTGTCCTCTGTTTCTCTCACCCCCCCCACCAACATCCCCACCTGTCAACACACAATTTCGGGCCCTTCCTCCATCTCTCGCTCTGTCTGTCTGTCTCTCTCTCTCTCTCTGTTTTGCTCGCTCTCTTTGCCAGCTGCAGTTATGGCAGTTATGGCTTTTGCCTAAGCCTGCATCTAATTATGCATGTTTACACAGGAGATGCTGAAAGTTCACTGCATGAGCTAATGCTAATTCAACACAATCACTACATTCATAGATCAGGTAAAATGACACATAAAACAAAATAAAGAGACATACTGAGACATACTACACGAACACTGATAAATAATTAGATATTGGTAACTGTAGTAGTATTTCCTTCACTTGAACTCACTATTAAGTGAATAGTGCCTTTGCGGTTATGGGTATGAACAGGAAGATATAAACATAATGGGGTAAATTTACTAAAATTGTATCGCACCTGCTGATAGTGTAGTTTATTTGCAAGAGTAGTTTTAGCACCCGATTCACTAAAATAATCATGCAAATCAGGCAATGGTGCAAAAACACATCTATGCTGAACTCAATTAGCACAGTAAGCCACTTCTGAGTGCTATAAGCTAAACTAAAATAAAATAAAATAAAAAAGTGTACGTACGTAACCGAGACGTTCCCTGATGGAGGGAACGGAGACATAATGTCGTGACCCCTAATGTCGAGGCACGACATAACTCGTAGTGACCGATAGATAGATACATACATTTTTGGGGGAAAAATTAAAACTAAACTAAAAATCAAATGAAATAAAATAAGTCAATGTTTTCCACAGTTGTTTGCAAAATTAGAATGATGAAATAAATCAAAACATTTTCCCACACTTTTTGAGTTATTTATTTATTTTAAATTACAAATAAACTAAAATGACCAACTAAAATGGCATAAAAAGTAATAAATAAATAAATAAATATTTTTCACCAGATTAGAATGTTAATATAAAATAATATTTTTAAAAAATTATGTAAAAAAATGTATTAAATTTAAATATATAAATTTCCCACACTTTTGACAAATTAAATCAAGGAAGATTGCTAACATGAAGCAATCTAACAAAATACAGCAAAACATACAGCAACAGCAATATTTGCCTACATATATTTTTATCAAGACATTTTAATACATGCTTTCAGTGAACATTTTGATTGATGATTATGTCTATGTCAGGAATCAGTGTTTTGAGTAAATTCATTAGATCTCCACTCGAATCGGCTTTTCAAAACGAAAATGTGCACTCAACTATACCAAACATCTGTAAATATGTGTGGTTATAACTCCATATGACCATCGTTTGACGAATACACAACTTAAATAGATAAATAGCACAGAATTTTTAAGAATATGGCACAATGTGGCTAATTTACATAGAAGGAGCCATGTATGCATGCATGGAAAACAAATTTAATAAAAGACTTAATTACAATGATCACGCAACATTTTGTGCTTGCTTAAACTAGTTTGTTCATAAATAAGACACAGGGGTTTGTAGTGAAATCACACACACACTTTAACAGCTCATATAATGCACTCACTTCAAAGCATCTTGAAATCACTCATTCTAATAGTCCTTCATGCTTTACCTTTTAATCAGAGGAGGAGAGATTAAGATCGATTGAGTCTCGGGTAAATAGCATTGTGTGGAGAGAAGGCTGACTAAGGGAGCAGCACACAAATTGAGTCACTAAATCCCAATGGGATACAGTCTCTTCCTCCCAGCCATTATGTGTGTCATGTGGCCTTTGGGTTTTCTGGACTACATCACCTGATTAAACCAACAGCTTTGTGAGAGGCAAACAGATGCAGGATGTTGCCGCAAGAATGCGATTTTAATAATAAAACGCTGAGAGGTGTTCTTGATATCTTTAGAAACAATTCAGCACCGAAACCAGGCGTTGGCATTGTCCACACACTATACTTCTGTCGTATCTTGAAGGTGTCTGGAGATGATTACATCTCCTCTAAGCCTCAGTGGTCTTATTGCAAATGCCAACCTGGCTGCGCGGATGTACCCCAGGCCCGGCTGAAAGGTCTCAGTCTTTATTCTAACATAATTGAAAACAGATTTATTGGATTAGGGCGAGTCTGCGTCTGTGCGAGTGCACTAGTTCAATCCCACCCTTCTTTGTCATAAACAATACCGCAGCCACGTCTTGACAAACAAGCTTTGATGACCTTGTTTGGGGGAACAGAATTTTACAGCATGCGATGCAGGAATAAATGTATGGTTATGAGTCAATATGAATGGAATGATTTGCACCTCCTTGTAAAGACCTTCAGAAGTATGAGGCCTTATGAGAATTTAGCCAATTAAAAGAAGGTGGCCTGGCCAAAAGCGGTGGCTTAAAATAAAACAAAATGTATAGAATGGGACAATATGTACGGACAAGTTATATGGATGTCTGTCTGTATTATACTATTGGCAGTTTATCTACCACAATTTGACCACAATTGCAGGACATATAAATGGTACAATTTCTGGGTCTTAGTGAAAAGCGGATGCCATTTTTTTCTGTTTTTTAAAGGGTAAAGGGCAAAGTTTAAAAGCACAGATTTTCAACCAGCTTTGTATTGTTACAATGTCATTGCATATGAACAATATATAATATATAATACAACTGCAGAAATACAAATTCAGATATCCAAGTATCAGCTAGCTTCAACAAATTTCCCTCTGTTTTTTATTTCAGCTCTGCACAAAATGACATCTCTTTGAGTGCAAGCTTAAAAACTGAGTGACTGATTTTGATTGATATTCCTGTAGTTCAGATAGATCATGCTGCTGCAAGAGCCTCATCGGTCCCTTTATTACCATTTACATATCTGTGTAAGAGCCCCATCAGAGCAGAAACTAACACTCTCACACATTTAGAGGATTACAATGAATTTGCATGTTTTAATATGCACATTTTGGAGGCTAATTCAAACGTTTTGGAATTATATTTTGGAATCTCTTAAAACGTCTTTCTGTCTAGAAACTCTTCTCTCAGACTGGTTACATTATTGAACTATATTCTGGAGGTTCTGACCCAAAAAATCTATAAAAGAAAGAGACATATCAGTGAGCCTGATAGCGCTTCACATAAGACTCATTGTCAGATGATAGATAAGATAGACATGCATTACAGAGTAGATATCTCAAACAAGACACCATCGTATTATACTTGATTCCATATCTCAAGGATAACCTTATTTCCTTGCAGGCACTTGATTGCTATCCATCAAAAGACTACATCTGCGAAAGTGAGGTAAGAAGTGCAAAGATGAAACTTTCCAAGCCTGTGAGTTCAAGCATTATCTGTAAGCATCTCCTGCTTGTGCATGTGGGGAAAGGCTTGATGAATATTGCGTCCAGAGACAAAGCACCACTGCACGGCTTTAATGTAAATGTGTTGTAATCCCACATACCCCTTGTATGGTCACTTGCTCACCTTGTACTGCAAAAGCTTGAGAGGGTTTAGGTGAACCTCACAAATCCTGTCCAGAACATTTCCAGGTTGTATTTTACACCAAAACTGAGAAATATGTAAGAAATGTTGCATTATTTATATTTTCATCTTGCATTTTGACATTATTTTCATGATGATTAATAATAATAATAATTTGTATTTATGTAATATAAGAAAGGTTATATTAATGTAATTGTAATGAAAACAAAATGACAAGCACTTTTGAAAATAATGTAAAAAAAGAAAAAGAAAAAAAGAGGAAAATATTAAGAAACGTTATGGTAGTATTTGTTGACTGCATACTATTATATGTAGTTTCATAAAAATAATGTCAGTTACGAGATAAAAACAAATTAAATATCTTTGCACTGTGACATTATTTTCATGTCCAAAAATAATAATAATAATATAATAATAATGTATATTACTGTAATGCAAGATATTCAGAACATCATGGTACCATTTGTCAACTACTATACATACTATCATGAAAATAATGCCAGTTAAAAGTACAAAAAAATACATTTAATATTATAAAATATATTATTATGATGATTATTATTATCCCACAAATTCATTCAATGAATGCAATACAATAATGTATTACATTAAAACTACATTACAAATTGTTTTCTCTCTCTGTGTATGATTTTGTAAAGCATGACCTGGACTTATTTTCATGATATTCACCAGTTTGCGCAATGTCTGGTGTTCCATATCATATCATATCATATTATTATTTATTTTTTTTCCTGACAGGTTCCTGGCAGTCCACCTAACACAAGAGTAGAGGACCCCAGAAATTCAAGCCCAGCTCTATCTGATGTTTTGATGCTCGGTCTGTTGTTTGCTCTTGGAAACCTCGCTATGTAGACCTACCTGAGCTTCATAAGCCAGCACAGTGAGGACAAGGTTGATGGAAACCCCCTCATGATCATCTTCAGACCAAACTCACACCTCTCTCCTCTATTGCAGCTTTCTTTCTTTCAGACAAACACCAAACAGAAAGAACACAGAGACACATATCGAAAAGACTGCTGCATCCTCGCCATGGCCGAAACAGAACATCGCATACCGAATGAGCAAACGGCCAAGAAACAGATATTGCGTACTTAGCCGCTTGAGTACAAAGTCTGGTGCCTGATTGGTGGACCTGCAACTAAAGACCCAGGCACAGAGCTTTCCAGTCTACTGTACTACTTCCTGCCACCCACACCACCCATAAAAAAGGGCGTCTCGCAGCACCCATCAGGCCTGAATTACCCATTGTCTGGCACTGGATTACACCATCTCTGAGAGGCATTCTCCATCCCGGCCCACTGCCCATTTATTGGATTTGCTGCGCTCTTCTTTGACAGCTGCTTTAGCTTTCTCATTGTGATTATTCCTTTTCGGTTCCGTATGTTTTCCTTCTTTTGTCCACCAGTCAAACAGGAGTAATTACTTTCCCGTGGTTCTTTTAAACGTGAAGTGTTTGAAGTTCAAACTGTACCCTGTCGACACAGCGCAAGGTGGATGTCACGGGCGACAGCTCTCTTAGTCACATTCTGTACTTAGTTTGACAGATTTGAAAAAGAAAAGAATGTTGAGATGAAGTTGATGAAAATGTACCAGTGGATCAACAGGAGAAGTAGATCTTTACAAACGGCTTTCGTGTGGGTTCACAATGTCAATGGGCTGCCCACACATGTATAATTTTGTCTGTGAATATGAATGTTTTTCTTTCCAAAAGTACAGCTGTTAATTATTATGTGTTGTCTTTAATTGAACGATGATGAGACTCTAGAGAAAGCAGTGGGAGTGACAAGAACTGCATGACTGAGGAAGACCTGGAGGTGCTCATACCACTAACCATTATTAGTCGCGCCATAATCGGTCTCCGGTTAAACGGAGTTCTACACGAGAAAAACCCTGCCGAGGACAGCTAGCATTTTGGGGCGTTCATCGTCATGTGAATCATTGTGTGCAATTTATGATGTGGCCTTACTCTTTGTTTTTCCTCCCCATTATTTTCTAGTCGCTGTGTGGAGAAGGTCTAAAATGTTTCTAAAAATGGACTCACCCCAATTCACAGGTTCAGTAAATGCACTAGACACATATGACTCTTTTATCAACATTCCAAATACTGAAGTTATGAACAAAACAGACATCGATATATATATATATATATATATATATATATATATATAAATGTAAAGTTCAAAACTAAAAAGATTTATATATTGTGTCCTAGGCTTGTTACATACATACCATTGCAAAGCAAATGATAAATAGGAACATTCTTTGTGTAAATATGGCACTAATGGGAAATGGAAACACATTAAAGTTATGTCGTATCAGTGGGGCTCTGTCTGTGAAAACGTTCAAACAACAACAGGCAAACTTTTTTTCATTAAAAGATGATTCAATACTTTATAGTACTAAAATATTTATGAGATTAAGGATCCAGTGATGTAATAATCAGCTCTATTTTGCCAGATGCTCAAAAAGTAATATCTTCTTTTTTGGTGTGAATGTTCCTAGAATTGTACTTTTGTTCAAACATCTGGAATATATAGATATATAAACAGTATATTTTTGAAGTATGCTGCCTTTTTGAGGGAGAAAATATATATATATTTTAAGGGGGCTATTAAGTCAAAAGGCAGGTTTGTCATTGTTGAGTAAGAACAAGAGCACATTTAAATGGTAAGAAAAATATTCCTGTCACCAGACACTAACAATGTGATTCTTGCTTTGAAGTGATTTTCAAAAATGTGCTGTCATATTCAGTGGGAACAGAAGTAGTGGTAAAACAAAACAGTGTGATTTCTCTGAAAGGTGTCAGTTTACATTTAGTCTTGCAACCTTTTAACAAAAAAACAAAGTGAATTTGAATCTCAACGTACCTGAGCAGAAAAACATCCACCATATGCTCCCCAAAAACAGCGCTGATACTGTATATCAAAAAGGCCTACTGGGGTTTGGAGAATGTTGTGACAGAAGTGTGATTGTTAAGTGTGTGTGCGTGTGTAGCCTACATGTACAATAAATTTGTGTGTGAGATTTTTAGCTATGGTTGGGTGGGGAGGGGATTTGGTATCAGGGAGAGACCATTTGAATGACAAATGTAACCTTCAGATGCAAAGAAATTAACTATGAAAAAGAGTAGCACTTCACAGAGACATTCAATGATGCTTTTGCTGTGTCACATGACTTTGATAAACCATCGTGATTTGATCACCTCTGGAATTAGCAGAGCTCTACGTCATCTCATCACTGCTTTGATGTAAGGGTCACCTCCCTTTGTAGACTGCTGTAAGGTCCAGATATGCTAATGCTGTGCTTGTTTCCTGATCAATAAAGCCACTTCAATTTGTACCGCTTTCCACATTTGTGTCTCAATGTGTTGAGGACATCCACCATGGTACCTTTTGCAGTTTAAAATCCAGTGAGTGGCTCTAGAAGCACATTCAGTTTTATCCAAAACAGATGAACATGAATCTGGCAATGGTTTATTATTGGTTTTGATACGTATTGCTTCAATTTGGAAATGAAATGTCTGGTGAGTGGGACTAAAAGGTTAATGCTCTGTTGTGTTTGAAAATACCGTACTAAATACATTAAACCCTAACCAATAGTGTTAACAAAAGCAAACAAGAAATAAAAAGACATTTTCTGAAGCAACCGTGTAATTTTAGCTTGCTTCTTCAAGTCTTTGAGCTCTTTAGTCATGACTCGTACTACCTCGTACACATTACAAGTGCAATGCTGTACCAGGTGCGCTACCGAGCGAGTTTACTGTATCAGAAAAGCCATACATGTGGAGCTGGTTATGTGATGCGGACGTCAAAATGTATTAGTACACAACTCATGCACTATAGACAATAATATGCAAGGAACCACTCAAAAACAATCCTTATTAATCAAAATGATTGAATTATTAATTTTTGTGAAAACAAACAACAAAAAAGTATTTGGTGTTTTACTGGCATTACTGTTATTTCCACTCCAGTAAATTGTATAGGCTGAGCTGTTGCTGTTGTCAGGCAGGTCAGGATACTCAAACAAAGTATCCTGTTGATACCCGGAATGTTTTGAAAATACCACAGTATTCAAAATATAGAAGCACTTTAATTTCTCTGCATATTAGGCTGGAATAAGAGAAAGTATTTTAAGCTTAGCGTTTGAGTTAAATACAGAATAATAACCCTACTAGTTAAACATTATGAATAAATTTGTCATCATCAATATTCCTGTTTTCAATCAAATCACTGGAATTGCCTGATAGGATGTGTCGAATTGTTCATGAAGGATTCTAGATTCGCCAACGTCTACCACCGGTTCTGAATTATGTTTTATGACTGCTGGTCTCAGCTTTTTATATCGTACTGATATAATATATGCCTCTGAGACAGTTCCATCTAGTTAAACGAAGAACAGATTGCATCCCACTTTCCTTTATATCCGCCAGCTCAATAAGCTTTATCGCACAATGTTAAGATGTTATCAGGTCATTTTGTTCAAACTTCATCTCAAGAGACATTTTCATTTGTGAGCAATTTCTTCACTGGCCTTTTTTTTATCTTTGCACAGACACTGTTAAAACCAGATTTGACAGCTTTGAGGATCCATTTGGGATCCAGCCTCATTATACAGAACTCAGTCCGAGAAGGGTCTATACCTTTCAGTAATTAATTCTAAAAATGGATAGCTTGTGCTGTACGTTATGGTTATATATCCTTTGTCATTTCATTTCACTATTTTATCCCCAAAATGGAATAAATCTGCACGCAAAACACCCAGACTGAGGCTCATACACTTCTCAAATATCAACAAAGCACTTTTTGACTTCCAGCAGAATTCGAGGCCTTTTCATAAATGAGAGGCTAATTAGTTTCTACAGCATACAAAGTGTATTCATACTCTCTGTTCTCCCACTGTACGTGATGCCCTTATAAAGCAGCCTGTTTATACTCCAGACAGCAATACTGAGGAAGAGATAACGCTCTTTTTATCTAGACTTTTATTTATTTTATCAATCAAATCTAAATATGTCTTGGAGAGTGGAGACGAGAGGTGTGTGATGTAAAACTTCCAATCTCCAAATACGAGTTGAGATTTTGCCTGTACTTGAGTTTAATGGCATTGTCAAATGTGATAAAACAAGAGACAAAGCAATCCTGACCCCCCTGCTGTTCAGGCTGTGTTTGGCATTTTTCACTTTGAGTTTCACTCGATTTCCATCCAACATGTCTGTGCATTCGCCACGTCTGATCTTAAAGCACAGAGAATATGTTCAGAGACGTTTCAAGAATCTGAAAACATTCCAGTGCTGCCAGATACTAATTCTTTGTGAAGAAGTGAATGGTTAAAGGCTTTCCAGTCGCCTTCGACTCTGATATTGGTAAGCGTTGGCAACGAGCTTTAAGACTTTCCTAAGATGTCTTACCATCTAAGCCAAGCTCTGCATGTCTCTGCCTTTGCTCTTTGCCAGCTTATAGACTTTGCAAACTCTGTAATTTTCATGTCTGTTTCATCTTCTCTCAGACCTCCCAGAATGAAGCTCTGGAGCAAGAGCAATTCATTTTGAAACGACTGTGTAAATTTACACGGGTTATTTACTTGGATATGGATTTCTATGTTAACAAATATTTAATAGATTTGCACTTCTGTATCTGATTGAAGCAGATACAGATATCTTTGTTGTTGTGATGTTGAATCACAGGTGAAGATTATGGTGCTGATTGGCTGAGCTGAAGAGAAATTGTGGCTCTGTTCAAGTGTAATTGCTTGGAAAGTGTTAAGCATTTCTTTTAAAATCCTTGTTTTGTTCCTCCTAGAATAATTTGATGGTCCGACTCTCTTTGAGTGTTTAGAATGTTGCTAGTCAATTTATGTCCTCCAAATAGACTTTTTTTTCTCCTGAAATGCCTGCAGTTCAATCTTTGAGGTAATTTGTTCAACTGGCAAAGCCACATAACAACCATCAGCATGCTCCTGAAGCACACTTCATAATAGAGGTATTTTTTTATTCATATTTTGATATAATTTATTTATATATTTTGTCTGTGAAATAATTCTGATAATTATATTTTCTTGTTAACTGAACCCCAACTCAATTCTTTCACAAAAATGATGATGCTGATTAAAAAGCTATTATAAAAATGCTTTTTTTTTCTTCAGATAATCAATAATAATAATAAATATTATTATATTATGCTGTTGTAAAAAGAAATTTGGGGTTCAGGTAGAATGTGATATAATACACACTAGCATATATACAGTATTTATAAAAACAAAAATACAAATTTGTATATATAATGATGTATGATTATGATAATTTAAAAAAAAATGTTAAGAACTGATTATCATGACTTTAAATACTTAACTTCCTATACTGAATTCATCAGAAAATCTACAGTATATTGTTTCTTGGATGACTGCACTTTCTTTTCAGAAAACAACCTGGAAGACTGTGTCTAGCGTTGACAGGTAGCAGTGTTGTGTGAGGAAGTGCAATGTTGTGGCTTTAATGAGTGTTTATGAATATGTGCTGATGCACGTGATTAATGCAGTGGTATTCTGGGTAGTGAATGGTGCGGACTAGGCATGTTTTATCCAGTATATATCTGAACTAATTAGCACTTCATCTGCCCTCTGAAACCATCGAGCTGAGTCAGACAGATACACACAGTCAAGATATAATGTGGCAATTCACACACACACACACACACACACACACACACACACACACACACACACACACACACACAGGTTTGTTTTTGTGAAAAGTGGGGACT